GCACCCCACGACGTTTTACTCGTCTGTGTCACCCCTCTATATTTGGAGGTCTTTGCTTTGATGACTTTTCCTGCATTCGTTTGCTGATGTTGTTGAGAAGAGACAGTCGTCAAGTCACTACTGCTGAGATCGTCGACAACGCCGACGGGCTCGCCTGTGTAAGCAGTCTGAACGAACGACATGTAGTGCTCTTCAGATGGGGTAACTACCGAATAGTCCGATTCCTCAGACGTGTATCCATTTAGGGGCGAGCATTTCGAATGCTTTTGAGGTAACACGATAAAATCTAGTGATTGAACGACAGTCAGCACATTTTATCAAACGAAAGTATCACAACGCACCTTGTAGGTAATTAGTACCGGGCTCTTCTAGCTCTTCAAGGTGCGCATCCAACGGGTCGTACTCGTTGCATGTGGGCAATGGCTTTGTCTCCATCATGTCTGAGGATAATTTATGTAAATGTAGAGAATATAAATGCTCTTGTATGTCTGCCCGTCGGCAAATTTAGCGTCTGCCGCAGTCACTAGTGCCTGTCGTTATTGTGTTGTTTCAAGTGTGCGCTTCAGACTTGTGCTGCCTTCCTTGGTTTGAGATGGAAAGAAGGTCATAAAAAACACTGAATCTTTTGGCACGCCAGTAGCCGTCGGGAGAAGCCAGTGTAGTGTTTGTTCATTAAGGGTATGTCGCAGTATATTGGTACTTTTGTGACTGCAGCCAAACAAATTATAAACTTAAAAAGCTGACTAAAATTTGCCAGTCTCCTCATTAAAAGTTTCTGTTAATCATTGAATACAGTCAGATACTTAAAATCAAAATTCCGGCCAATGCGAAAAATGTAAAAATGTCGACTGTACTTTTTTGTGTTCCCGTGTACCGGATATTTCAGCCTCTAATGATAAGGCGAATGCGGGATTTGCGTCGAAGCAAAGATTTCAGTGTAAGACAAATCTCGTCAGTCTCATCGCTGGCTTGCTTTATGAATGGGATCAGGGTAGAACTTGATCGAAGCTTCGGTATATTGTCCGAGCAGATTTTTAGGCTGAATGTATGACTGGTGCTAATTGTAATGAATGCGCACTCTGTTATGGTGGACAGACGCATTCCATTCACACTCCGTTGTAAAGTCCCAACATGAAGTCTACGATTACTTGAGCAGACTGGTGGAGCTTTAAAAGGGGACGTTCGTTGCAACTAGACTTACGCAATACGTCAATTCCTGTCCCATGGAAATGTACCACTATAAGCTAGCTTGATTCTAATGTTACACTCATACGATCAAGTGTAAAGTAAATGGTATTTGGGAGGCTCTGGATTCCGCGCCCTGGGATGTTCACTGACGCGCAATTTGAACGTCAAGCGCATTTGTGCCAGGTATGCAGATTCATACTACTGCATGATGCGTGATATGCTCTCGTAGACAACAAGTCTGTGATCTTGGTACACGTCAGGAATAACTGCATTAGATACAAAAACACTTCTAAAGTAATTACACACTCACAAAACGCGATTAATCAGTATACACAATTAAACAAAGTTTAATGGAAATTCATTTAATCGAATAGTATTGTAACCAATATGATTGTACCAAATGTGTTCAAAAGATGACAATACTTGCCACGTTATACCCTTCCCCACTAAGATGTGGCAATTTAATGGCCCAGCGAGCCCCCGCCAAACAGCCTCAGTGATTCCCGAGCTCCGACCAAATAACCCCGTCCTCACCGAACGAAAGGTCGAGAACCGGTCTAACCGTTCTCTAAGGAGGTCGATCACTGCGCGCTCAGTCTTCCGCTGCACAAGGTTTGATATTTACGCCCTACTTTCATCGGTGGGGATGTTCCGACACCCCGCTGGGGAATCCAAAGCGACAATCAGCTCGTTACCAAAGAGCTGTAACTGGCTCAACGAGCCCAGCTTTTCTTGCTGTAAGCATAACAGTCTCCCCGACTCTTGCCCAGATCACATTAAATACGGTTTTAATATCTCTGAAGTTGCTGGCTGCGCTGGTGTAGAGCTCCCACGACACCAGAAGTGAAATAAGCTCAATATTTTTTCACAAGCGCTTCCTCATCGCTAAGGTTATCACTCTCCAGAAGTATCGCCTTTAATTGGAAAAGCAGCAGTTAATAAACTCAAATACTCCACGAGGGATTTACGTTGAGCACTAAAACTAGGCAAAATTGTTGCTGATGGTATGTTTCGGCTCGCGCACTTAGTGCGGAGAACACGCCGTCTCACTCGTCGCTCGTTCAGCAAAGCGTAAGTCTTCCTAGGGCGTCGTCTCATGCTTACATTTGCAAAATTCGAGCACGACGCGGACGTTAAGGTGGCAAACCCCAGATACCACCTCCAATTCAATTTTTTTAATATATTTCTTCGAGCTCTCTCCAACTTTTTCCGACTCGGCGACTCGGTCATTCAAGATCCCACAGAAAATGAAACGCACCGAATACGACTTGCGCCGATAACGAGCGCAGAGCAAAACAAAATCTCAATTCGAGGATACTAAGATGCCGTTGCCATCATCGAAATTAAGCTCCAATATCGCGACAAACAGCACTTCTACAGGCTGAGCCAAAGCCTGGCATCAGATGACCAGCTTGGGCGGATGACGATTACTATGAAGAGCCCATCGAAGAGCTCAGTCGTTCAGTGTATTTGCGCTACCGTGAAAATGAACGTCGTCATGAATTTCACGACCGTCGTGGAGGTGGCACATTTGATTTTGACGAACTCACTAGTCGAATGAAAGCTCAAGTGATGACGGACCTATTACACGTGCCGAAGGAGACCTACGAAGCCTCATTTACGCAGCGGTTCCATCTGGATCCCGTCCAAATAATCGACCTTAATCTCTGGTCATGGTTTCGTGCAACCAAATTCGTGGATATCCACCATTCGCAAAACGCGAATACTGCTGCAGACCTGCTGAAGATACGTGATATGCGCTTTCGATTTGACCATTTAAAAGCGCAGTATCCAGCTCACTCTGATATTGAAGATGCTCGCGAAGTAAATGCGGTCAGTAAGCGAGTCCACGACGAGACAAAGAGAGAGAAAGAAAAGTATGAGACGGATCCCCTAACCAGAGTCCATCTTTGTGCCCGTGTCGAACGCGACATCGATGTCGCGACAGTCGCGAAGGAAACAAACACGAGGCTCCCAACTATTCCCGCTCGGTGGATAATCCACTGATTTCAACAAAGGCTCCTTCCGACCGCGGACGTTCCTCTCCACCAGCAAGTTCTCGACGTAGTAGTATTAATTTCCCTGTCGATTAAGATGAGAGGGAGGTGCCCAAATAAGACGTCCTCTCTGCTTCTTCTGTGGCTGCTCAACGATCTTCGTGTCAACGACGCCACAATGCGTGAAGAATGCTCGACGGGTCGTCTGCAAGGTTCGCGACCTTGCATGGCGTCATTCAAACTAACCTAAAGATGCAATCAAGAATCGGATTCGGTGACTATACACTTCCCCCTTCTGCTGCGGCTGATGATGCGGAGCCTCCTGCCAAGCAATCTCGCTCTGGTTCGGGTGGATATGCTTCTCGTTGTGATTGCCAACGCGATCAGCAGCCATCTGGCTCTTGTCGACGTCTCGACTCCCATGGTCGTTTGTTTGGTCTCGACGGTCACGATGGTCATCTTTCAAAGTTGATGCTGAGGCGACGACGCGACCTTTTGACCCTCGTGCCGAAGCTGCGACTCTAAAGCCATATTTGTATCGGCCTGCGCTACATCAATGAAGTAGTGTCGTCGCGATGATAGGGCTTTAGGTGGCCTACGTAGAACGCTGGATGTGTCCTTAGACAGATTGGCAGGTCGATAGTGTAAACATTTCCATGGCATGGCACAACTCGGAATGGACCGACGAAGCGAGGTAGCAGCTTCAAGCTTTTCAACTTGAGACCGCATCGTCTGATACGTTCTTAGTAGTAAGTAGTACGGAATCCCTAACAATAAAAGACATTTTGCCTTGATTACTTTGTCTATCTGCGTACCCTTTTGTAATTCTTGCGCATTCGCCATTGCATCTCGCACACGTGTGATCACATTCACACGACTTATGATGAATGAGTCATGGGCATCCTTGTTTTTGCGCTTCTAATTTGCATCATTGATTGTATCAATTGAGAGGCAACAAGTTGCCGACCTCTTCCCCCACTTACATCGGATACACCACCCATAGCACAAAGCGGTACTTTCGGGTGTCGCAAGTGAATGGACTGAATCGTTGATAGCAAATTCTACCAATGGTAAAAACAAACTCCATTCTGCGGAATTCAACACATCACCGACCACTCGGTTGGCACGTTCAGTTTGCTCATCGGTCACCAGGTGTATTGCCGTGGACATGTCCAAGCGAGTGCCACGAATACAAAACTATCCTTTTCAGAAGCCACGCGTAAATCATGTGTCACGATCAGAGCAATTGCGTCTGGCAACCCGTGATTGCAAAAAACATGATCAATGAACAGTCCAGCCGAGCCTTCGGCAACGATGAAGTCGCTACATGGAGCGATGCAAACTATCTTCCTGAGTCTGTCGAAAATGACGAGCACTATCATGGCCATCGGCCTTTTTGGGGAAGTCAAGAATAATGTCGAGAGTGACTGACTTCAAGCAATCAATAGGAACAGAGAGACTCTGCAGCAGCACTTGCGTGTGCCGGGCGCTTTTTACATCGGATGTCTTCACGTATCGTGCAACCCACTTTTTCATGCGGGGCGGCCAAAGTTGAGCACTGAAAGTTTGAAAGGTCTTTTTTTAATCTTTCAGTGCTCAACTTTTGCCGCCCCGATCTTATGTTTCAAACCATCGTTGTGGGGAGCCACAATCCGTAGCTTGTCGCCATTTGCAACTGTATAGTGAAGAAGACCATCTTTTAATGCATCACAATGCATCCGTAATTTCAAACGACCAGGGAGCTTGTCATGAAGTTCCATATCACTCGATGAGTCTTGATCACACAATTGATTATCAACATTTGCTCGAAGTATCATATGGAATACATCGTTTTTAATAGCTATTAAGGCCTACTCATAATCCGGACGACTTGACAAAGTGTCAGCCAGCACGTTCATTTCCAGTTTATACGGCCGTGAAAATGCATTCTGAGAAGAATGACAACAAGCGAGCCATCCGCTGTGACAAATGAGAAGACTAAGCTGCATATCGCAAGCTTGCGAAATTCATGTAGACGACAAACGGAGTCTAAGCAATAGGTGAACACGAAACTTTGCCTGAATACTATTAATTCCATTGTTAGTTCTCTTTCTGCTGGATTCAGCTGTCGTGAAACGACATGACACGACCGTGTTCTTCTAAGTCCTTTTGCAAACTCAGAAGCGTCAGACACCACGTTTTACGGCTTCGTAGCATTTGGTAGAGCAAGAAAAATGCCTCCAATCAATCTTTTTCTGATCTGAGTGAATG